TGAAGAATTTAACGTCTCATTTATTTGTTTCGACAAACTAAAATCAGCAATTTTTGGTTGTTCTTGATTAATTAAAATATTTTTTGAATGCTAAAAATTGTAAAGAAAAATTAGAAGAAAATTAATAAAAAAAATATTAATGAAAAAAGACATACAAGTCCCTGTGAATAATTTCATTTTTATGTAAGAACAAAAGGCCAAAAGCAATATCCTTGGCAATTTGTAACTTGTTTTTTTTCATTGCAAATTAGTGTTCTTTTTCAAATAATTCCGTAGATTTCCTTCATCATCGTGCTGTAAATATTTATAGAATCCATCATTATAATTGCAAATTATTAATATTTATAAAATATAATGATAACCCAATAATAATATTTATAAATCATATTCATAATCATGCTATCTTTTGTAAATCTATAAAACTTAATAATATTTGGATGACAATCAACTCTTCGTAACGATTTTAACTTATAATATAAAATTAAAAAAAAAGGATAAATAAATGAATTAAATAAAGAAGCAACTTTAATTAATACCTCTCTAACAGAGTCTTTAATTGTTTCATCATCGAAATCATCTTGAGCAATTCTCCCAGATACATTTATAAATTTTCCGAAACCTCCTTCATCAATAAATTTACGGTCTGAAAATTATTAAATTTGGGAAGATTGAAGAACAAGTACCCCAGTGATGTCTTCATGATAATCACATTACATGATTAAGTGTTCGGCCTACGTTAGGGTTAGTGTTAGGGTTAGGTGATATGTTAGTTTAGGCTAATTTGTTTAGTGCTAGTAAACAAATGACGTAATTGCATGATTTCACATGATGTGATTATCACTGGGGTACTTGTTCTTCAAGTGTCCCTTATCTATTTTTATATAATTTTCAAACTTTATCTTTCCATTAATACATCGCATGTCAGCAGACTTTTGATAATAAAAAAACGCTTTACAATGATTTTTTTTGATTCCGATTCCATTTTCATAACAGACATCACATTATACGTTCCTTTATCATGATTCAACTTAGCAGTTTTTTTGAAAATTTCCGAAGACCTTATGTCGGTCCTTTACTAATTCAACTTTATATGTCACATAAGATCTTCAATATCAGCAGATTTTTTATAATATTCGAATGCCTTATTTTCATCTTTTCTAATTCCTATTTCATATCGAAAAAAAATTACAAACTTGATCAATTGCAACAGCGTATCCCATCTCTACAGATTTCTGGTAATATTCGAATGCATTAAATGCATCTTTTTCAACTCCTATTCCATTTTGATAACAATTACCAACTTTTTATATATTCCATTAGGATTATTCATATCAGCAGACTTTTGATAATTAACAAATACTTCATGTTCATCCTTCTCGACTCCTATACCGTTCTAATAACAATTACCAATTTGATTAATCGCTACAGCATGCTCCATCTTTGCAGATTTCTGGTAATATTCGAATGCCTTGTGATCATCCTTTTCAACTCCTATCTCATTTCATTACAATTACCAACTTTATATATTCCATAAGGATTATTAATATCAGCAGATTTTTGATAATTAACAAATTCCTTATGTTTATTCTTTTCAACTCCTATTCCATTCTGATAACAATTATCAACTTGATTAATCGCAACAACATATCCCGTATCAGCAGATTTTTATAATATTAGAATGCTTTATTTCCATCTTTTCTAATTCCTATTCCATATCGATAACAATTACCAACTTGATTAATCGCAACAGCGTATCTCATCTCTGCAGATTTCTGATAATGTTCGAATGCCTTGCATTCATCCTTTTCAACACGCACTCCATTTTGAAACAATTACCAACTTTATATATTCCATTATCAGCAGATTTTTGATAATTAACAAATGCCTCAATGTTCATCCTTCTCAATTCCTATCCCGTTCTGATAACAATTACCAATTTGATTAATCGCAACAGTATATCCCATCTTTTGCAGATTTCTGGTAATGTTCTAATGCCTTGTGTTCATCCTTTTCAACTTCTATTCCATTTTGATAACAATTACCAACTTCATATATTCCATAGGGATTATTTATATCAGCAGATTTTTGATAATTAACAAATGCCTTATGTTCATCTTTTTCAACTCCTATTCTGTTCTGATAGCAATTGAAGCAGATTTTGAAAATTAACAAATGCCTTATGTTCATCTTTTTCAACTCCTAGTCCATTCTGATAACAATTGCCAAGATTATTTAATGCAGCAGCATTTCCCATCTCTGCAGCCTTCTGATAATATTTGAATGTCCTATGTGAATCTTTTTCGACTCCTATTTCAATTTCATAACAAATATCAACATTATGTATTGCATTAGCACGTCCTATCTCTACGGCCTTTTAATAATGTTCGAATGCTTTATGTCCATCTTTTTCAACTCCTATCCCAACTTGATAACAAATACCAACATTATGTATTGCATTAGCATATCCCATTTCCGCAGCCCTCTGATAATATTCGAATGCCTTATGTTCATTTTTTTCAACTATTCCAACTTCATAACAAATACCAAGATGATGTATTGCATTAGCATATCTCATCTCCGCAGTTTTCTGATAATATTCGAATACACTATGTTAATCTTTTCTAACAATTCTATTTGATAACAATGTCCAAGGTTGAATATTGTACCAGCATCACCCATGCCAACAGATTTAATTATAAGATACAGTATAGGCTCTACGGCAACCGTAGGCAGTGCAAGAGCCTTATGTTTGTGATTAAGCACCGTAACTATGATAGCAGTGCAAGGATCTCAAGTTGTAATTAGGCTCCATGGATGTAGCAATGAAACGACCTCATGTTGTGATTAGGCTCTATTGCTGTCACAGGCAGTAAAAGAACCTCATATTTGGTGATTAAGTTCCACAACTACAATAGCAGTACAAGGATCTGATATTGTAATTAGGCTCTGTGGCTGCAATAGCAATGAAATCATGTTGTGATTGGGTTCTATAGCTACCGCAGGCAACGTAAGAACCTTATTTTTGGTGATTAAGCACCGCAACTACGATAGCAGTGCAAGGACCTCCCTCACGTTGTGGTTAGGCTGCGATAGCATAAATTAATCAAAATGCAACTAAATAGAAACCAATGATAACATTTTCATAATTACTGAATATAGTTAAATGTATTGTATAGTTTAAAATTTTTTTTTGAACCAAAAGAAGCTTTTATATAATATATTCTAAGCCATCCTTTAAAAAAAAACAAATTAATAATAATAACACTTTCCTGCTAAATTACATGTAATGTTATCCATGCGTATTTTATTTCAATTTCGTTATATCTGCAATTTACAAATTAGAAGAATAGAAACCTATAAAACACAGGAAAAGATTTATTTAAAGAGATTCTACGAACGTAAGTATGTAGGTATAATAAGTAAACGGAGGTCTATCTGATAGAATTTAAATGGACTGTAGCTAATTACTCGATAATAACTGGTACACACACAGGTCGAATGAAGGCAAATCGGGCACCAATCGGCATCCGATATGAAACTGATTTGAAACAGATATTTGGCGCAAATAGGAAACCTTTTAAGATACAAATCGGTTTCATATAGATGTTCAATACATATCGGAATGCCTATAGCTCTATAGGTAAATCGAAAAAGCTATAAGTAGTGATGTGCCACGTACTGTACTATACGTACTGTACTGTACGTACTGTATGTACTGTACGCTAAAATTTTGACAGTCATTTTATAAGCTCTGAAGTTTAGGCCAAAAAACTTATAAGTTCCTAAATATTCCGAAAGTATTCCGAAATTACGGCATAAAAAAAATTTACTATACGTACTATACGTACTGTACGAACTGTACGTACTGTACGTACTGTACGCTAAAAAAATCAGAGTATCATATAAATCACTAGCTATAAGGCAAGCTTTATCGATTTACCTATAGAGTTATCGACATTCCGATATGTATTAAACATGAGCGCCAAATATATGTTTCAAATCAGTTCATATCGGGATTACGTGATGCCGATTGGTGCCCGATTTGCCTTCATTCGACCTGTGACATTCAAGATGTGCTATAAAAAAGAAAATATTATGTAATATTATAAGGTTTAACTAATATAACACGTGAGCGATGAACATAAAGTTTACGTATTTTAACATGTAAATTCAAAATAAAGTTTCATAGCAATGCATACATCGAATTATGGAATCAAGAGTCGATTTAACTTTTTGAATCTTACAAATACAACTCGAATATGATAAAGTTTTGAGGGCACTCAGAACGATCAGATCGATCAGATCGATCAAGATAAATATGATCTCGAGTAAAATTGCAACCAATAAATAAGATGCCTAACGTTAATCATGAACTTTATTAGAAATGATCTGCTGCATGTCGACAAAGAAAGATTAGAGAGGGTTAAGCAGTAATGATGTACAGGTAATATTAATCATTAATAATTAGATGGCAAAGATCGTCTCGGTTTATAATAAGACCGTTCTATCACAGTGTTAACGCTTTTTGGTCTGGTCTCAAATCTAAAAACGATCAAAAATCCATTATGATGTCAGTTGTATTGCAATTCTGATAGGAGGAAACGTTGTTGTCACACAACTGATTTTACACACAGTGTGAAGCACATATTTTACAATACTTGATCAGTCTACTTGATCAAGTATTGTAAAATAATTTTTTTATGTATTTCACACAGTGTACAAAATCAGTCGTGTAACAACAACGTTAAGACCGAATAACTGTGAAATTGGTTAACGTTAAACTTATTTGCCATAATTAAATTTTAATTCACAAATATTTATCCGAAAATATATAAAACTGTTTGAATTCAAAAACATAAAATCAGTTTTATCAATTATGTATACAATTTTAATAATTTCTCTTTCTCTATTTATTGTTTCTTGTTGGTTAATTTTTCGAACAAACAGCAATAATAATTGCAGCTATAATCTGTTGGTAATGTTGCCAGCTCTTGTAAATAATGTTTTTCAGTGGTTTGGAAAAAAAATTACGTACGTTTAAATTATAACATTTTCTTTAATAAATTATAGTGACATGCAACTAATTTAATTTTTTTATTTTACATACGTATAAGAGATCTTCAAAGACGACTTTATCCACCAACATATATAATTCTTAATGAATGGAGTGGTTTTTTAATTTCTAAAGTAATTTATGAACTTACAAAGCTTGAAGTTGCTGACATAATTAAAGCTCAAGGTGGAAAAATGAATGTATGTGATATTGCAAAAGTGACCGGAACTAATGAGGATAAATTAAGTAATTATCTGAAAGTAGACAATGATATATTAGTAATGGCAAAGTTTATTTTCTGATTTCCCATAATTGTATTTTATTTTATCAATAGATCGTCTCCTCCGTGTTGCAGTATCTAAAGGCATCTTTCATTCCCTTGGTAATGGAGTATACGCTAATACTCGCATATCATTAGTGCTATGTAAAGACCATCCAAACACATTTCGCAATATTATTTTGTTGTACAAAGAATATTCTTCAGCAACTCAATATTTAGCTTATGATTTGAAATTACAAACTGATAATAAAGAAGAACAAATGACATCATTTGCAAAAGCTCATGATGGCGTAGGGGCATTTGAATGGTGGTCATTGCCCGAGAATAAAGAAAGACAGGAGATTTTTAATAAAGGGATGATTGAACAGGATGGCATATACGGTAGAGGTCTTTTTCAAGGTTTGTAAAAAAAAAACTTAATATAAAATCCGTATTAATAAAATTTAATAAGATTATTTAATTGATCTTTTTTATAATAAGATTATGACTGGTCGCAGCATTGTAATGCAAAATTTGTAGATGTTGCCGGGGGAAGCGGAGGTTTTTTGTCCCAATTGTTAACGCGCTATCCAACAATGAAAGGTATCCTTTATGACTATCCTAGCGTTATTGAAATGTCTGAGCAGGTTAGTTTATTTGACCAATTTTTTTTAACTTACAATCATGTAAACTTATATAATTTGTTTGTTTTATTAAGGTATGGTTGACAAATCATGAAGAATTGTTAGATAGAGTTCAATTCTTTCGAGGTACTTGTATAATATACGTCGTCTAGACTCTATTAAACTTCGTATATTAAAATCCTTATATTTATACTTTAATTATTTTTATAAAGGCGATTTCTTTATAAATCCACCCCCACCCTCTGATGTTTACTTTCTTCGCTCTATACTGCATAATTGGCCTGACGAACAAGCCATCAAAATTCTTAAAACAGTCCACTCTGCCATTCCTTCAAATAATGCTAGCTTGTCGTGCCATGAAACGCCTTTATACTCCAAGTCAAAGCCAAAGCTTCTCATAGCTGAAATATTGATTGATGATCGAACTCAGTTTCCTCTTATATATCAATTAGACATCCTGATGATGTGCATGTATAATGGTAAAGAAAGAACAAAATCAGAAATTAACGAGTTATTAAACAAATCTGGATGGAAGTTGACGGAAATTACTTATTGCAGAGGTGGATTTAGTGTCATTGAAGCAGTTCCGCTATAATGGTGAGGAAATATAACAAAGTAAACTCGGAAATATTAAATGCAAGACTGCCTTTTTGGTGAATATATATATAGTATGATGCACTCTTTTTTTTATACATAATCTGTAATTTTAAATCAATATTGTTTTGTAATAATATTATCTAATTTAATAAATCAAAATTGAAAATCAATATTGTTATCCCGCAAACTCTTATGATCATGGCAGAATTTTTGCACGTTATTTTTTTTAGATATTATGACATAATGCAAAATAATTAAATTTTGTACAAATATTTTCATTATAATCAAAGCTAACAACTTATATTCGAGTCAAAATTTCGGTAAAATTTTTAAAATTGGGCCGGGAAACTTAAATTCTGATCATAATTTTTTTAGATTCTAATATTTTAGGACAGAAATTACAAATTCGGGCCCGAATTTCTTAAAATTCTAATATTTTGGGCCAGAAATCACAAATTCGGGCTCGAATTTCCTAAATTTCTAATATGAAACTCTCAAATCAAATTAATTAATAGATAGCAGCACACCTTTTGTACTACCAGTAGTACACTTTTAAAACTCATAGCAAGCTTAAAAATCAACAAATTAATTTTTTTTTATTTAAAAGACTATTACATGTTACTTTATAAATTTATTTATTTTTATTTAATATTTATTATAAAATTAAAAAAAAATTTATAATGCTAAACATGTAGCATTATTCAGCACTCATGGTGTACTACTTTTAGTACACAATTAAAAATTTCCACATGCCCCCAAAAAAAAAGATTTTGAGTTGTGTATTTAATATACAATAAAATAAATCTAAATAAATATAAATAAATATTACCTTTTAGCATACCCACTATATGTATTATGAATATGATGGGCCCAGAAGTTGTACATATACCTTGTATGATTATGGAAGCTTATGCAACAACATTGAATATGTGATTTTTTGCATCATTAAGTGGCAGAATTATTCTAAAGACTAAGAAAATCATGCTCTAAAATATCTGAATTCATTCTTTTTCTTTTTTTGGTTTGATTAGCCACACTTTCACCAGAATAATTGCTAAAAATAGAAACTACTAACTACTTATGAAAGTTTACATATTTCATATTTTTTTTATCAGGTACAAATTAACAGTATGCAGAATAGCTATTTGCTTCTACAACTGAAAGATAAAAAGCAAAAATATGATTAGCAGAATATTTTGTAGTAAGGATATTATAGTAAGAAAGTGCATTGTCATATAAGTTGTTAAATATATTTATAGCTAATCGATATTTGTTATAATCATCAAAAATAACAAACTACTAAAATTTTATCTTTAATTGATGATCCTTGACTGAACTGAAGAAAATTTTCGTATAATATAAACTAAAATATTTTCTAAAATAGCAGGCTTTTTCACTAAGTTAATAGCTTATATAAATTAAGTGAAAGTTGTAAAGCTTATCGAGACACACCTAATGGTAGTTAAATTGTTAAAATTGGTTTAGTAGTTGTTGAAATATTGTTAAAAACAAATTTTAACTATAGGATTTGTTTACATAAAATTTTATATAGTCAGCCAATAGTTTTTTAGTAATATCTTAGCAACTATTAGACAAATTTTAGCGATTTAACTACTGTTAGGTGCATCTCAATGAGCTCTACAACTTTCAATTATTTTACATGAGCTGTTAACTTAGTGAAAAAAAGTTTATCTTGAACGAACAGCAGATTTGTGATTACATAGTAAATTTTTATATAATACAAAAATTTACTATATAATCGTGAATCTGCCATTCATCCAAGCTAAACTTTTTTCTTACTAAGTTAATAGCTTATGTAAAATAATTGAAAGTTGTAAAGCTCATTGAGACGTATCTAATAGTAGTTAAATTGTTAAAATTAGTTCAATGGTTGCCGAGATATCTCTAAAAAAACTATTGGCCAATTATATTGTAAACAGTTGATTTCTATTTATTTTCTTTTTCTTTATTTTCTTTATAACTTATTATTATTATTATATTATTTTATTTATTATTATTTTTATATACTCTACTATCTATATTTTACAAAAACGCCTATATTATACTACTAACTTTATATAGTATATATGTTTATGTAACTTTGGAACCAATTTTCTTAAAATTTTATTAAAACAATCTCAAAAGTGATTTTATGAAACCCCAGTATTTTGACCTGTAGAACAATTTTTGTTAATAGATCTTTAGCTCTTAACATAGTAAAATCTTTTATAAATTGAAGATTTACCAAATCTTTGATTTTCTAATGTGTAACATGTAATTTTTAATTATATTACAAAGGATTGTCATCTGTGTATCACATGATCTTATGCAAAAATTAGCCTTAAAACATTATAAATAGACCCCCTCTCCCACCTTTTGCAAAATAATATTTTATCTTCTTTTGTTTATATCTTTCTTATATTATTATATTTTAAACTTTTTTGTTGTAAAAGTTTACTTATAAATAATAAATTATTATTTCTTTTATTATTTTGTCTTTTTATCTTCTTGTCTTCTATTACAGAGCCACAAAAGTATGCTATTGCTAAACCATATGTGTCTCTTGTTCTTTTATGGACTCCAATAAGGCACAACAATTATTAGCCCATTACATACTAAGGCTCCAAAGTTTTATTTTCTTTTCTTTTTGTCTTGTCTCTTTTAAATATTATACTTCTGTTATTATCAAACTGTCAAGTTATTACTTCCTTCTGCTTGCACTCTGTATTGAGTTCAAATCCAAAGTAGTAATAACAATATAAAATTTTATATAAACAAACCCTATAGTTAAAATTTGTTTTTAACAATATCTTAACAACTACTAAACCAATTTTAATTTAACTACCATTAGGTGCGTCTCAATAAGCTTTACAACTTTCACTTAATTAACATAAACTGTTAACTTAGTAAAAATTCTGCTATTTTAGAAAACATTTTGGTTTGCATTATACAAAAATTTTCTTCAGTTTAGTTAAGGATCATCAATTAATATATTTTTTTATTTCTGTTTTAATTTGTTGTGAAACAACTAGCAAGAAGTACAATATTCTTATAATCATGAATTGAACTCAAAACAAGATTAACACAATTAAATGTTTTAGTTTTGTAACAAAAAATAATCTGTAGTCTTTCTCAAGTGCACTTGTTATATCATATAGAATAGTTCTTGGCTAATAATGATATTTTTTTATTTGTAAAATGGAATACAACCAATAGTTATATAATATAACACACCAACCTACACTTCTAAACATGAATCTGCAATGACTATCCTATTACTATTAAACCATGGTTCTGCTAATTACAATGTAGTTGCAATTGTTTAGGGATATTGATCAAAAAAGTTTTTTATTAGTATATACTGGAGGCTCTACAGGATTTAATTGCAAAAGTGAATAGCCCAGGCATTAGCAACTGCTTTAAATTTACAGCCAATTGGATAGGATTTTTTTAGTATTTTACATTAAAATAAATCTTTATTAATCTTGCCTATTTACTGACACATTGACTCATTGATACAAAAAAAAGTTAGTAAAATCTATATAGTAATTATATAATCTCATAAAATAATTACTTGCCAGAATCTGTTGATATAGACTTTAAGTAAAAGTATATTACAGTTATTATTGGGCACTTTGTAAAATAGAATTCATAGCTATCAACAATAGATTTAAAATTTGGCAAGCTGCTTGTGTGTTATAGTTCTCAAGCCTTCTCTGGTTAGTTTTTAACCTAAATAATTTTACATCAATTCTTCTATTGAACCTTTTAACAAAGTTATAAATTTAGAAACTTTGTTGCATATACATGTCTCTCCATAATGCCAACAAAGTCATATTATAAAAAAAAAATCTATTATAACAGCTTTTCTAGATCATTACATTGCATTGTAAAATAATAAAGAATATGCTTAATATTAAACTATCTATACTAGTTTGTTTATCTAGACCTTTTACTAATAGATTTTTAAATTTTCTGTTGATTACTTAATTTAATTCAAAGTATACTTTAGGATTCAAGATATCAATGGTTTTTTTTATAACAGAGTGCTGGTTGAGATATCACTATATAACACTATGCAACTTCTAATTGATGTTACATAATATTCTTCACTATCATGTTATCTCATAGCACATACAAATCTAGAAAGTTGGTTTTCCAAGACTATTTTAGATTAATTTCTTCTATTTTTTCTTTATACCTAATGTTAAAGCAAAATTCTTTTAATGCCTTAATCCATTGCTATATTGCTTTATGAGTAGCCAGGACTTCACATCTTTCTAAATTGTCTTTAATTCTTCTACAGATAGTTCTGTGTACTTAACTCTCTAAAAAGTAAGTTAATATATTTTTTTAAAAAAAAACCAAAAATTTTAGAAATAAAATTTAATAAAACTTCACTGGAGACTTTGCAGGAACCTTTACGGTGACCTTTGCAGTGACATTTACAGTAACATTCACAGAGACTCTTGCAGGACTTCCACGAGAACTTTTCTAGAGAGCTTTTTCACAAAACCAGGCTTGTTTTTTGACATTTTAGTACATAGGTTTCAAATTAAAATTCTTGAAACCACTTGTGGGAATTTTTTTGATCAACTGGACTTTATATGTTTTGGGCAAATGTTGTAATCAAAAGACCTTACAACAGCCTTAATTTCCTATTGTGCCTTGTGGCGGCAAGAAGTCTCAAGAGCGAATGAAAGTAATTAAAAAAAGTATGAAACGTTTTATGCTTATTTTTTTTTTTCACTTTAAAAAAAGAGATCCGATTTTTTATTGATCTTATTTCTTTTTTTTTAGATTTAAATTTATATTTAAAAGGGGATCAGGGCCATTATCATAATTGCCGGATAACAACATTATTGGGCAAATTTCCGTTATTCAACAATTTTTTCCAAATAATGTATACTTATGTAATAACATTATCTATTAGACCTGTAATTTAATAGCTTAATAGTTAATATTTCAGATTTTGAAACAAAAGTTAAAATATTGAAA